ATATAAAGATGTATTTTAAAGTAGCTAAGTCTCCAACTCAATATCATCCAAAATCTTCAACATTGAAAACACGAATTATTTGTCAATTTAAATCAACATTGATGTTGTGATCTTACCGGGAAAAGATGGGCTTCTGATATCCAATATTTAAGACAAAATAAACATTTTACCATTGGTACACGAATCGTGTACCATAATGCGTTTCAGCCCCAGTTGTATGAAGAGACTCGAGGGACGAGGCTAGACACGTTGCACCAAATCAAACGGCGTATGTAGAGTGGAATAACCGGACGCTAGAAATTTCCACTCGCTTGAGACTGCTGGCTTATTTCGCCTAACATAACTGATTTGAAATTGGAGTAAAAACGGAAACCATTGAATGTAAATCAGTTTATATACATTCATATTACAGTATTATATGCGTTGCGATCCACTTTTGTCAATTTCTAGGTCCCAAATGTTAGCGATTTAGTTCCTTTAAGTTTCATCAGAATCGGATAAAAAGTGTCACCTCTAGAGTGTCGACAACCTTCGTATTGCATACAAAGAGCGGCCATTTTGTTGGGCAGTTTCATTTCGATTTTCCCGAAATTCGAATTCAACCTTCATTATGGTGGAATGGAGAAATATTTAAACGGTTTTTGAAATTGGAAAAAAAATTGTGACCTCTTAAGAATCCGCAAGTTAAAAATGCCATTTTTCGAACAATCAGGGGCCATAATCCAGGAAGTTAAGTTCGGGTATCCGCGATTATCAAAAGGATCCAAGATCTTAGTGTGTAGTGGTGATATATTCACACAGCTTTTTTAAATCAGCTAAAAATTGTGACCTGTAGAGGGACCTCAAGCTAAAAACGCGATTTTTCGTACAATCAGGGGCCATAATTCAGGAAGTTACTATCCGATATGCGCAAATATCGAGAGGAACCAAAATCTTTGGGTTTTAAACTTACATTTCAAGTTTCATCAAAATCAAAAGAAAGCTGTGACCTCTAGAGGGTCCACAACATTGATATACCATATTTTTACGCTATTTGACTACGAGGCGCGGCCATTTTGTCTCTCAGCTTTGGTTCGATTTTTACGAACATTCTAACTCAACCATCCTTAGGGTGTAACGGTGGTATATTCAAACGTTTTTTTTCTAATCGGATAAGAATTTTGACGGCTATAGGGTCCACAAGCTAAAAAGGCGATTCTTCGTACAGTCAAGGTTCATAATCCATGAAGTTACAGTCCGATACATGCCAATATCGAAAGGAACCGAGATCTTGGGGTGATAAACCTATATTTCAAGTTTCGTTGAAATCGGATAAAAATTGTGACCTCTATCGACTGTTCACAAACGACAATATACGCCCGTCCACATGAAAATGTGGGCGTATAAAAAAGGAACAGAAATTGCCAGTAGGAAAGCAGGGACAGATCCCCTCCGTATACACGTATAGCGCGATTTGGTTTCTTACCTAATTCATTATTAGGATTCCTCATTTCACAAATGTAATCATCAAAGACATTATAAATGGTGTCTCCAGAATGCACACAACACAGCGTAAGAGGGATAACTCAGAAAGCTATAACCATAAATCGTCCAAATCATTCAATAGCGGGTTATAAATTTGGTCTCTGGGTGTACAAAAAAAAATAGACTATAAGACTTTACTGTACCCTTGTATATAACCAATGTTACTTTCCAACTCAGCTTGAGTCCCTTTTTGGAATTGGATCCTGCTTCAAAGTATTAAAACAAGAGAAAGATGATGCAACAAATTTTAATAGATATATAGTTCAATATTATAAATATAAATAGATTAAGTATGTAAATAGATTTGAATAATTTACCCCCAGGTTGTAAATAGACATTTATCTCTAAACAAAATATTTACAATCTTTATTTACAAACAAACAAATAACAATAAAGTATAGTACACAAAATTCACCCAAGGAACCAAAGGGAAATGAGGGGTTGAATTCGATGCATCTCATCCACACAAATAACAATAAAGTATTTTTACACACAATTCTCCTAAGGAACCAAAGGGAAATGAATGGATAGGGGTTGAATTCAATGTATCTCATCAACACAAAATTTCCCCAAGGAACCAAAGGGAAATGAACGGGTTGGGGTTGAATTCAATGCATCTCATCAACACAAATAACAATAAAGTATTTTTACACACAATTCTCCTAAGGAACCAAAGGGAAATGAATGGATAGGGGTTGAATTCAATGTATCTCATCAACACAAAATTTCCCCAAGGAACCAAAGGGAAATGAAAGGGTTGGGGTTGAATTCAATGCATCTCATCCACACAAATAACAATAAAGTATTGTACACAAAATTCCCTCACGGAACCAAAGGGAAATGAATGGGTTGGGGTTGAATTCAATGCATCTCATCAACACAAATAACAATAAAGTATTGTACACAAAATTCCCCCACGGAACCAAAGGGAAATAAATCGGTTGGGGTTGAATTCAATGCATCTCATCCACACAAACAACAATAAAGTATTGTACACAAAATCCCCACAAGGAACCAAAGGGAAATGAATGGGTAGGGGTTGAATTCAATGTATCTCCTCAACACGAAATTTCCCCAAGGAACCAAAGGGAAATGAAAGGGTTGGGGTTGTATTTAATGCATCTCATCCACACAAATAACAATAAAGTATTGTACACAAAATCCCCACAAGGAACCAAAGGGAAATGAAAGGGTAGGGGTTGAAATCAATACATCTCATCAACACAAAATAGGCAACTATAGATTCTTATATAGGCAACTATAGTTGACTATATTATTGTATATTGGTATTAAAAGTGAACACTGCTCTTCATAGTAAGTTAATGGTACTTGTAAGTATATTGAAAAAAGGACTTTCGAGGGGTATAAGGGTCAAATAGCACCCCTTGCAAAGTAGGTTGGATGGAGTTAAGTACCCTGAAACAGCCTAATTTTGGTTGATACTACTAATTTCATACATATCAGTAAATTAAAAATATATTCCCTCATGGTTTAATAAGATCATCTAGTGCAACATGGAAACTATGGTATATTTAACAGTTATATGTCATTTACATGTACCATGATATTGCTGTAATATAGTAATATTGTTATCGAATTCAAGACATATTCCCTCATGGTTTAATTAGATATCTAGTGCAACATGGAAACTATGGAATATCTAACAGTTATTTATATACTATGACATGTATCATGATATTGATGTAAATGTAGTAATATTGTTATTGAGTTTAAAGACATATTCCCTCGTGGTTAAGCAGATTATCTATATAGTGCAACCTGAAAACTTATTTTGGTAACTCAAACTATGATAATTCGTACGATCGAGAAAAATAAATATATAGACTAAAAGTGAGTGATTAGGGAGCTCACAGTAAATAAAGTAAGAAAAAAATTGTTCAAGTCCACTCCTAGTAAGGCGGATAACTCTATTTATTAAATGTAGCAATAGCGTAATCATTGTAGCGTAAAGCCACAATACACACTTGGCTCATTACTGTAGAGTTTTACATTCACATTATGGAGCTATGGTTGCTCAGTCAGTAAGATGTTGGCTTGTAACAAGGCAGTCCTTGGATCGAACCTGTTATTAGCTGCGAAAACTTTAATTCTATTATACACCATGCCGTGTGCTAAGAGGGAAACTTGCACAGACTGCAATGTTTCTGCCCTGCACTTCTGATATGGTGAAACCACAATGAAAAATCCTCAGCAACATGGGGTCTCCTAGTTAGTGAGCCAGCCCCTTCCACCCTGAGCCACCTGGGCTCCGTTTAAGTTTTGGCAACAAATAGTGGTCACATCAAATGCTGATTTTACTATTTGAATGTTCAATTCCACTGAATTTTTAATGCATTTTTAGGTTTTAAAACAACACAACAGAGTATGAGTACAAAATGGTTCAATTCTATTTAGAATGATATGATGAATTGAAACATTGGACATCCATTCCACTAATATTTTATAATTTATAATACCTATTGTCAAGACAGTCAGAGACTAATATCTCACAAATTTTCAGTTCATCAAGATAGGTATGAAAGAGCTACAGTTTAAATGATATAATTTATAATACCTATCCTGAAGACATTCACAGACTAACATCTCACAAATTTTCAGTTCATCATATTAGGCATGAAAGAGCTACAGTTGATATAATTTATAATACCTATCATGAAGACAATCAGAGACTAATATCTCACACATATTCAGCTCATCTGATTGGTATGAAAAAGCTACATTTGATATAATTTATAATACCTATCCTGAAGACATTCACAGACTAATATCTCACAAATTTTCAGTTCATCATGATAGGTATGAAAGAGCTACAGTTTAACGATATAAATATTTTAGCACATGAAACTGCACAAATCACTGCCTTCTTTAAAGCCTCAAACCGCCCTGAACTTTTGACTCATCCTTTTGCGTTGTACAGTGTAATGTTGATGCAATAAAATAAGTTTAAACATCTATTATGCAAGAGTTAAATCTGCCTATTGCAGGTCTTTCTTTAGGCCATAAATGTTATCTAAATCATTAACTAGATATTAATTAACTTATCAAGACCATAATCAACTCTCAATGCCATCATTAGCCTGCGATATTTAAAGGACTTGAATACGTTTTGTGATGGATGATTTAACATAAAAATGGATAATTGAGACTTTGTTTATTATCGTACCAATGGTAGTAATGACGTTCGAGGCTAGCCTAAAATTGAATTGCTAATATCTCGGTTCAGAGTGAGTCAAATTGACTGAAATTTTCAGCATATTCCTTTTTTATTATCTATTTTTTAACTATTATAACGAGAAATGTCCGCTTTTTACCCAATGCCCCTTTAAACAACTCCTCGTTAAACTCTGTTACCTAGTGAAACCGAGTGAAACTAAATGAAACCCAGTGATTTCTATGACCAAGTAGTTTTGTGATTACAGCAGTTTGAGGCAATCCAACGAGCAGTAGATTCCAGTGTTTTTCAAAAATGATCACTTTTCTCTAATTTTATTCAAGGAACCGGTGTAGTCCGTTTTCATATGTACTAAGTGCTATGGTTGTTCTGTGATTACAGCGGGTTGGATAGTCCAATGAGCAGTAGATTCCAGTGTTTTTCAAAAATGAGCTCTGCAAAACTCAATGTAAAAATGATCACTCTTCTCTAATTTTCTTCGAGGAACCGGTGTAGTCCATATTCACATGTACGGCCAAATGCTATAGGTTTCAATTTGTCCTACAAAATGTTAAACATTATGTACACTTGTGTCCAAGGTTAAGTGTAAATCTTCTGATGAATTCTGGGATTTCTCTTGATTTAAAACCTGAAATAATAAAACATTTTTATTTCTAATTGAATAGGATGAGATTTGACGCTGGGGTGCACAATTTCACTTTTGAACCACTAGCCCATGGGCGGGTGTCATGACAAAATTTGCTAACCCTAGAGAAAAATACACCTGCCCTAAATATAAAAATTAGATTGTTTTGTTTTTAATTTATTTTAATGACTAAACATAAAAATAATAACAAAGTAACAAATATTTAAGCATCCAAATGTTCCAATACTGTCTCAACCTATCCATATTATCATCAATGTATTGGATGTTATAATTGTAATAGACAGCAACAACCATGAACGGAGGGATAAAAAATAGCAGAAAAAGTTTGTGTTGTTCTATCGGTCGTTTTTATAGCTACGTGTTCAATTTACCCTTGCAAACTCGTTTTTTTTCATTCAAGCATATGCCGTATGGAAAATGAAATATTACAATACAAGAATACTAAATTAAACTATACAATATGAGTACTGTCTCAAAAAATGCCCATTAACTAAGTCAAATAAATAGCAGTTTTTCGGATCATGGGATTTACGGACCACTATGACTCAATGTCATTCAGTCTACCGGTACCTCTCAATATAGTTAGCATTTTTTACATTTCTGCCTACATAAAGTATATTTTAATCAGAAAATCAATGATTCCTTTGGAAAATCAAAGTGTGGGTATACATAATTTGTGAAACAGGGATAATTCTAACAGTACCACCGGTCGTGTGGAAAAGTGAGCGAGAAGACATGTGATGTAAAAACGCTATATTATTACGGCGTTTGCAATCTTCGTGAAATGAACACTTGGGAGTTTATATCAGTATTTATTGCTGTTTAGTTATCATTAAACAATAAAAAGCCATAAATGACAATAAAAGGAAGACGTATTTTCACAAAATACATAGAGAAAGAAAAATTGCGGTATCTTCAGTAAGGAATGTTTTCATTCGACAATACTCGTTATTTTAGAAAAGTTATTTTCAGTACCGGAAGCTATTACCGGTAGAACTATCGTGTGCTTAGTAAGTTATTCTGACTGAAGTTAGTCTATTCAGCTATTATTATTGCGCGGACTGGAACTAAAATGCTTTAAATAATCACAAAGTATTGTTCAATCACAAAGTATTGTTCGATCACAAAGTATTGTTCGATCACAAAGTATTGTTCAATTTCAAAGAATTTCTGTCAGAGAAAATCGGCCAGTCCGCGGGTGGACGGAATGCGAAATTTCAGCTGTCCAACAAAAAAATTAACCTGTCCTATGGATCTGCTCCAATTAGGCTAATGAATACGGACATATGTCATACATAGAGCTATAAGGGAAATTAATTGAATGGGGTTTAATTGGTCGATAACATGTTTCAGCTGTCATGGGTTGGTTGCGATTTTTTCTTATGTAGGCAGCACATGAGCTGTAGCCTGGAATCGTAAATTGCACTCAATTGTGACTATTTGGGGAATAGAGAGAACTCAATTCTCGAAAGTTCAATCAAGTATCTCCACATCCTTGGTATCCCCAATGGTCTCATCCCATACCCTGGGTTTATCATTGGGGTATTCACGCTTTAAACTTAAACCGAAGGTGGTATCTCCATATAAATGATGTGACTTACCTCCCTTGAAAAAGATGCTATAGCTTCATAATAACCAGGACAGGTCCAGGTATCGTTATGGTTACCACCTTGTATTGGTACAAATCGTTTAAAACTACTCGCTGATAACTACAAATATAAATAAAACATGTGGGTTTAACATGTGGGAGTCATTAGCAGAGGGAGAAAACCAGAGAAAACCAATGATGTTACACTGGCAATCCTACTCCTTGTCACGTACAAGTGGGGAATAGAAACCATACCACTTGACTCAATGACAGAACTTATGATTTCACACCTTGGCAGGTGGAATTCAATACAAGAGTAGGCCGTAGCGCTGCTGTCTGGGCAAAATTTCCCTTATCGCACACTGTATTGCGTATGCCCGGCTTCATCATTTAGACTGTCCTGTGATTAATCACTGTTAAACATACATTATGCAAGAGCTACATCTGCCTATTGAAGGTCTTTCTTTAGGCCTGAAATGTTTTCTAAATTATTAATTAGACATTAATTAACTTATCCAGGCCTTAATCAACTTTCGATGGCATTGGATTTCTCCGATATTAAATAGATTAGAACAGTTCAGCCATATTTTGAACGGGAGGACCCAGAGAAAATCAATGAGGTTGGACATGTGACCTTAGTCCTTATCACATTCAAGTAGGTAATTGAAACCAGACCACTTGAATCAATGACAGACCTGATGATTTTAAGTGCACGTGTTAAATCACTAGACCACCCACCCGCTTTTTAAAGAGAAAATGTGGCTGCTTGTTCAGATTCTACTGTATTTTAAGTGCACGCGTTAAAGCACTAGACCACCCACCCCCACCCGCTTATTAAAGAGAAAATGTGGCTGCTTGTTCAGATTCTACTGTATTTTAAGTGCACGCATTAAAGCACTAGACCACCCACCCCCACCCGCTTATTAAAGAGAAAATGTGGCTGCTTGTTCAGATTCTACTGTATTTTAAGTGCACGCGTTAAACCACTAGACCACCCATCCCCGCTCGCTTATTAAAGAGAAAATGTGGCTGCTTGTACAGATTCTACAGTATTATACATCTAATATTATTCTTTCCCGGACTAGTCAGGCCATAATAACCTTGCCCTGTCTGTCAACAATGAGGTCCGCTTGAGAACAGACACTTAGCTAGTGGACCGACATTTTAAGTCCTAAATCAACGATTTTAGTTGAAAACACTAAGTACATTTCGAGAATTTTGAGAAGAATATATTCTGCTTTCATTTAATAAAATCGAGAAGGTTTAATTAATCTTTTCGTGTATAAAAGACGTGAACCAGATTAGGACCACATTTTGTCTGCGATATCACTTATGTGGAAGCAGACGTTAAACTCCAAGAACTACTACTACTAGGACCACATTACAAAACAGTATACTGATTGTTGGATATGGCGGGCATTTAGGGTAGAAACCTGTAGATCTTCAAAAAGATGTTAGTAAAACATGTTAAATCTTTTAACCCTTGTTAATTACTGTTGTCCTCTGAATGTATGTTTATTTGCCATTTTTTTTTTCTTTCTTGGTTGTTTGATATTTCTCTATTTTAAGCTTATATAATATGATATATATATATACACTTTGTAAATATTATTACTGTATAGTTGCTAGTTTTATAGAGTAGGAGGGACATGTTGGAAATTAGAACTCATGTACTAAATATGTTCCCTCAGAAAATAAAGTCATTATTAGTAGTAGTAGGCGACAGTTCTCCGTGTTCAGAATATGATTTACCTGGAAGAGTTCTTGCATCATTTTTGGTGGTATAAGATTATCTGATAATCCTGATATAAATAACGTTGGTTGTCTGATATTACTCATTCTTTTATTACTACAAAACTGAAAAAAAAAAAATTGTTGAGCAAATTAAAAAAACAAAAACATTTTGTTGAGCAAAAAATCTGAAAGAGTTGCTGAAAACGACTTGCCTCCACTTGGCAAACTTTCAATGGGCTTATTCATCAGCTAGAGAGAAATAGGGTTTAACATCCACTCGAAACAAACCAGGTCATTTTGGGACTGACATATGGTTCAATTTTATGTCCGTCCGCTTGCAGTTAGGAGTGTTGAGAAGTTGGAAGAAAACGGAGCACCCAGAGAAAACCCACGAGGTTGGAAAGGGGACCCTACTCCTTGTCATGAACAACCGGGGAATCGAAACCACACCAGCTGACTCATTGACAGACCTTATGATGCATAGCACACCCTAACCATTCTTCCAAAGCCCCACACCTCCCTTATTAATTCTTTAACGATTATGGAAATGTGTTTCCATGAAATTCTGTTCAAAATATGAATTCTATTTCTGCTGGCCATAATAAACATTGAACTGTAATTTCTGTAGAAAGGGTTAGTGACACCATTCACAGAAGAAGTAATGTCCTTGTGTTACATACAAATTCACTTACTTTATTTTTTAACATAATACTTGGAACATATTTTAAAAAGTCCATTTTAAATATGACTGCTCCTATACTCTGTATGGATGTAAAAGTATTTTCTAAGATTAAGGCACATATGAATCTAGAATAATATGGTTGAGTTAGCAAGTGAGTAGCCACTCCCCCACCTAGAGATCGCCCGAACACAATGATACGCGATTTATTTATTTCTGGTCTCTTGAGTAAAAAATCCATAGCTGTTTGACTATCGATATAAAAACCTGAAATATACAAAAAATAATATATTTTTAAACATACATTATGCAACAGCTAAATCTGCCTATTGCAGGTCTTTCTTTAGGCCTGAAATGTTATCTAAATTATTAATAAGTCATTTATTAACATGACAAGACGATAATCAACTCTCCATGTCATCAGATGGCTCTGATCTTAAGTAGATTAGAACAGTTCAGCCGTTTGCGTTTAATGATTTAATTTTAAAAAAAAGAAGAGAGGCTAAGACTTGAATGATCAATGCACACATCTTGTAAAAACTACAACGAATGACAACTTCGTTCAAACTAAAGTAATTTGAATAAGATTTTCAATATATTCATTTTACATTATCTATTTTTGAACTATTATAGCAAAAACTGCCAGCTCTTTATCTAAATCTTATATATTGCCCCTTTAAGTAGCTTTAACTTTTTCGGAAAAAAATCCTCACCTGCAGGAATTCAATTAAGAGTAAAAATTGCCCTTTATATAGCACACTGCATAGCTTATGTCTGTCTTCATTAGACTGGTTGGTGTAAAAAAAAGTAGGAGGTTAAACCCCATTTCATTTCAGGTAACATTCAAATTGTCACATGAGACAAACTAGGTCATTTTGTGAAATGGTTCAATTTCATTTCACTAATTCACTTTCAGTAGTGGAATGCAACCAAAGGAACAAGAGAAAACCCACGAGGTTGGACAGTCGACCATTCTCCTTGTCACGTACAAGCGGAGAATCGAAACCACGCCACTTGACTCAATAATAAACCATATCAATTAATGCGTATGCATTTTATGGAAAAGAATCCATAATCATTGGAATTCAATGAAGGGTAAAAAATACTCTTATAACACACTGTATGGCCATCTTCATTAGCCTAGTCGGAACAGAATAGTAGGACGTTAAACATCATGAAGTGGAATATAAGATACTTACCATGTTCTGATGGTGACCCTTGACTTTTACCATATCCTCTATATTCTACCATTAATATATTAAAACCACATGCAGTATATAAACCATACGCATTTAATAATCTGAAAAATCAAATATAATAACAACAACAAAAATCGAATTTGACGTTCTTATCTCCCCTTTCTCATAACTTTAGCTGCAGAATTTTCTCCCAACAGTGTCAACTTTCATGGGTAGAAGTAGATATTCGATTGGCCGCTACTATCAATGTGGAACAGATTGTGTCATGGGGAATGGCAAGAAAAAAGAGAGTTTTCAAGGAAATGCAACATAACATTAACATAGGTATGTTAATATACATGTACGACTACATTTCAATGTGGGGGGTTGGATGGCCGAATGGTTAGCATGTTCGTGCTGTATCATAAGGTCTCTCATTGAGTCAACTGGCGTGGTTTCGAATCCCCGGTTGTACGTGACAAGGAGTAGGGTTGCCTGTCCAACCTCGTGGGTTTTCTCCAGGTCCTCCGGTTTCCTCCCACTGCTAAAGACCCCTATGCGCAAGCGAATTATTGAAATAAAAAAATTAAACCATATGTTAGTCCCGAAACGACCTATTTTTTGTCGAGTGGATGTTAAACCACATTTCTCTCTCTCTCACATTTCAATGTGAGATGCAATGATTTATAGAACCACATGGACAAGGGACCTCTGGTTTTCGTCCCATCTAAATGATTAGACACTGTCCCTTACCAGCCCATCTGTCCTGCACAACTGACAAGGGAAAATCAAGCTGGAAAATCTATAGGTACTTTCTCGAATAGAGAGAAAGAGAAATGGGGTTTAATGCCCACTTGACACAAACTATGTCGTTTCGGGACTAACATACATGTATGGTTCAATTTTTTTTTCAATAATGAGTCTTTAACAGGGGGACGAAACCGGAGTAAACTAACAGGCGACCCTACTTCTTGAAACGTACAAGTGGGAGAATGGAAATTACACTACTTGACTGAATGACAGACTTTCTGATTCAGCACGCACTCATTAACCATTCGGCCACCCACCCACCTTTCTCGAAAAACACAGGGATTAAACCAGGGACCTCCTGGATAGTGATCGAGCACATTAACCACTGAGCCACTGTTGCTTTCACCATGATCTAAATAACTAGACAACACTGTCCATGTTAGCTCGTCAACTGGCATGATCTCGATTCCCTGCTTGTACATGACAAGGAGTAGGGTCACCTGTCCAACTTCATGGGTTTTCTCTGGGTCCCCCAGTTTCCTCCCACTGCTAAAGACCACTACATGTACGCGCAAGCGAATTATTGAAATAAAACCGAACCATATGTTAGTCCCAAAATGTCATAGTTTGTGTCAAACGGACGTTAAATTCTCTTTCTCTCCTTTCTTGTTATCTCTGCTGTAAGAATTACGTTTTCTTTTTAAAAATGGATCAAACAAGCGAACAGTGAGGCTGATGTCCCTTGCCGAAATCCCAAAATAAATAGATGACACATATTAATTAATCGCACATTTATTTTTTTCAAAAGTATCGAGCAATCAAAAAACACAATAAGTTTCATCACTCTCTATCAGATAGAATCAAGATTATCTCGTCCCAAAGCATCGACCAATGAAATTGATTAGCTCTGCTTAGCTTTAGCTTGAAATGTTAATCATTGAAATCAGTCAAGTCATTCACCTAATGAACATCTACATCAGGTTTAAACATTCTACCTCGATTAAAAGCAGAGTTTTTATGTTCCAAAGTCTTGACCAATCAAATGGCTTATCGCTCCTTAGCCCAGGCAGAAAATTCGCACAATCGAACCTAGTCAAGGTAATGCTATAATGAATCTATATTCAGGGTTTTGTCGCTCTCACTTCATTATAACCAAAGTTATCGTCCCCCTAAAGCATCAACCAATCAGATTGCTTATCTCTGCCTACCGTAAGCAGACAATGTTCATCATCAAACTCCATCAAGTGATTCACCTAATGAATGCCTACACCAAGTTTGAACTTTCTACCTCAATTAGAAAGAGAATTATTGTGTTCCAAAGTCTCAACCAATCAAATTGCTTATTGCTCTGCTTACACTCAGCAGAAAATGTTCATTATCGAACTTAGTCAAGATATTGATGTAATAAAGCTGTACACCAAATTTCCTCACTCTCACTTAATTAGAACTAAAGTTATCGTGTCCCAAAGCATCAACCAATCAAATTGCTTATCTCTGCTTACCCTAAGCAGAAAATGCTCATCTTCGCACTCCATCAAGGCATTGACCCAATAAACACCTACACCAAGTTTGAACATTCTAGCTCAATTAGAAGGAGAGTTATTGTGTTCCCAAATCTTGGCCAATCAAATTGCTTACCCTGAGCAGAAAATGTTCATTATCGAACTTAGTCAAGGTATTGATGTAACGAAACTATACAACAAGTTTCATCACTCTCACTTAATTAGAACTAAAGTTATCGTGTCCCAAAGCATCAACCAATCAAATTGCTTATCTCCACTTACCCTAAGCGGAAAATGCTCATCTTCGAACTCCATCAAGGTATTGACCTAATAAACACCTACATCAAGATTGAACATTCTAGCTCAATTAGAAAGAGAGTTATTGTGTCCCAAAAAGTGTGACGGACAGACAGACGGAAGAACCCATTTTAATAGTCCCCTGCTTTCTTCGAAAGGTGGGGTCAATAAAAAAAACTAACCTGTTTCCAATATTTCCTGCATTTCCATGAAAAAATATAAGAGTTGGAGAATCTGCTTTCTTCTGCGGGATCAAAACCATGTTTATAACAGTTCCATCTTGGGATTTGATAAAGTGATTTTCATACGGAAGATTAACTATGGACGGAAGTTCTACATAAAGACGGGATTGGGGAGGCTGGTTTGGATGATATAGTAACAAATCTTGTGCGTTATAAAATATACCTGAAATTGAAATAAGATACATTAAACATACATTATGCAAGAACTAAATCTGCATATTGCAGGTTTTTCTTTAGACCTGAAATGTTATCTAAATTATTAATTAGACATTAATTAACTTATCCAAACCATAATCAAATCTCAATGTCATCTTATGTGTCTGATTTTCACTGATTTGAATCCGATCTGCTGCTCAATGCTCACTGATGATTAAATCCAAAAATGGATTTAGTAATGATGATCGAGGCTAGACTTAAAATTCAAAAGCTAATATCTCGGTTCAGAGTGGATCAATTACTATTTGTCTCGTTACTAAATGTAGGCTACTGTACATGTATATAGAGAAAAGGGTTTAACATTCAATCGACACAAACTAGGTCATTTCAGGGCTAGCATATGGTTCAACTTTATTTCAATACTTCGCTTGCGTGTGTAAGGGTCTTTTCATGAAACCGCAAAAAACATGAGGTTCGACAGACGACCCTTCTCCTTGTCAAGTACAAGCGAGGACTCGAAACCACGCTATCTGACTCAATGACAGAACTTATGATCCAACTCGTATGCTTTAAACCATTCATGAGCTATATAGGCCTATCATTTGTTTTGTTTGCAAAATTAATGTATAGGCCTATATATTATGTCATCTAATTGATCGTTATTTATGTACACATATAGATCAGAGTTCTTAATCTTGGGCCAAATGAGTTCACCGTAGGAGCTAGGGTAATTAGGTTCCCATTCACTGTAATATAATCGACCAGCAATACTGCCAATAGGCTACTGAACGATCGCTTATGATCAAAATATACTTATCTGAAAAGGAATAAATGGGTCGAAAAGTATATACCGGTATTCATGTAATATGAATGTATATATAAAGGGATTTATATACATCCATATTACATTAATATGTGCTTTTAGACCCATTTACAATCATTTTAGGAGCCATGGTGGCTATGTGGGTAAGACGCTGGCACGCTAGACTGTAGAGGTTGAGTGATCGATCCCTAGGAATTGGTCGACAAAGTTCATCAGGATTTTCAGACGGGGTTTCTCCTTGTCAGTGGTGCCGGATGGAGGGCCTGACAAGGACACCTGTCTAGTTGTTCGGGTGGCATGAAAAACCGAGGTCCTGTGTATACATTGGTATGTACCGTACGTAAAAGATCCCTTGGTAGTTGGAATTCGATATACATGTAAGAGTATGCCATAGCGCCGCTGCCCGGGCAAAATTTCCTTCATAGCACATTGTATGGCTCCTGGCCATCTTCATTAGCCCAGTCAGAGTGCCGCAGAACAGTAGGATTAGGATGTTAAAGTTAAACCCATTTCATTTAATTTTTCTCCCTCCATTTTAAGCTAGCAAAGAATAGAGGATTAGGGCATTAGCTCAACACTTTAATCTTACCAAAAACAGCAACAACTAACACTAAAGATGCTAAAAATCCTCCTTGAAACCAAAAGATTAACAAAACCATTAGAAGAGCACTTGTGCATATTTTCCAAAACTCTAGCATGACAGCTAAAACAATTCGTGAAACAATCTGAATCGTAGAAAAACCCGACCCAACATAGTCGCGCTTTGCCCCAGGCATTTCTTCGATTTTTTCACTATCGTTCGTAACAGCTTGGTTAATCATTTCACTACAAACATGTCTTATAGTTGAAAGCGTAAATCAAATACGATCGCGAGTAGACGTATGTTATATTTGAGCGATATTTCACGAATTTTCAATAAAATCTTCAGTTTCTCATTCCGTTGTCAACAAAAAGTCGTTAGAGTTACTTCTCTTGGTTACTGTAAAATTTTGGCCAAACATTCTTACGAAACGAAATAAGAATTGAAAAGTTAATTTGCATTATTAACCTTGATCTGTCTTCCAATAGAGAGAGAGGGGGTGGGGTGGGATTAAAGTCCATAAACTAGGTCATTTCGGGACTAAAATTAGGTACAATTTTATTTCAATAATTCGCTACGTCTCGAGATCTTTAGGAATAGGGGGAATAATACTCAGCTTTGAGTGCGTTTGGGTATTAATACAGAAACAGAAACAGGAACAGGAACTTAGGAAGCCCGATGTCCCCGAGAAAACCCACGGGTGTCTTGGTAGCAGGGTCAAAGTGACGCGGTTTGTTAGGTCTAAAATCTGAGAACCATTGCAGATTTCGTCATACCGGTCACGAGATGTAATTATAAGGATATGGCGGTTGCAGAGGTCTTCGGCGAAGGCCCAGAGGTGGCTTAAAATTATAGTTTTTAATTTACCCATTCTTCCAAAAAATTGGATAGCCTAGATAGAATCCGATTCTAAGCCTACGCCGAACGCGACTAGGTGACCATATATTCAGAAAAGTCACCGGGTTTTTTTTCTACTTTACGATCAAGTAGCCTAACAGTGTATTTTTATATATATATATTAATTTATACCAACAATTTAAAAAACAAAACAAAAAAAACATTAGCCTACTCGATCGGCATGTACCTCCGGCCCCTCAGGCTTCGGGCTCCTGAACAAGTGTCCCAGCTGCCCCCACCCCGCCCCTTCTCACGGGCCCTGATAAAATACGCTATATATTAAATTCTTGCAAGATCCGGGGTGTTAACATTTGAAAATAAATTTGCATATTTTCCAATTAGTTTGATTAAATGCTGACTAACTACGACAACGTATTACTCTTTTAGTTTATGTTAGCACCATTACTTATAATATTAATGTCACTGTATATTGTTGTGAATCGCGTCGCCTGAGTGTTGAGTGCGTCTACAATTTTCGTCAACAATTCAAGATGTTCGGAAAGGTGTCAGTCTAGCTAGGACCCATAATCCACATTGCGTGAAACCAGGTAACCTGGTTAAAAATCCATAGATCAGCGTTCTTTTTCAATTCATTTTATTAAACATACATTATGCAAGAGCTAAATCTGTCTATTGCAGGTATTTCTTTAGGCCTGAAATGTTATCTAAATTATTAATTAGACATTAATTAACCTGTCCAGACCATAATCAACTCTAGATGGCATCGCTAGCCTGCGATCTTTAGTGGATTATGAGCCGATTTACTGCATAACTTTCCATCACGATTTAAGGATTAAATGGATAATCGAGACTATGGTGTTTATCGTACTGACTTTAGTAATCCATGATCAAGGCTAGCCGGAAATTTCAACCGCTTAGTTTTCGGTTCATAGTGGGTCAATTTGAATGAAATTTTCAGCAAATTGCCTTTACATTATCTAGTTTTTAACTATTATATAGACAGAACTGCCAACTCGTTATCGAATTTCCCATAATGTATCTTTAATTAATGATTATGAAATAAAAGTGAAATGAAATGAAATGGGGTTTAACGTCCAATTGGCCTGTATTATACGAGCCGGGGTCATGAAGTGGGGCATACGTCACACAATGTGCTATTAGGGCAATATTGGTCGGACAGCGGGGCTACATCCTACTCTTATGTCGATTTAAAATTGACAGGGGTTCTTTTAATTGCACTGCACGGTAACTTGTACAGAACCCCGGTTGTTTGTCCCATCCGAAAGACTAGACACTGTTCTTTCTCAGGCCTTCCATCCTGCACGACTAACAAAACGAGACCTCGTTGGAAAATGACCACCATCAGGAACAAGAACATATTTTTAAATACATAATTATACATATATATGTACACTGTATAGCTAAAGGCCAGATCATAGGCCCACCCCTAAGCAACCGTTTCCATGTATCTGCCTCCAACAAATCTAACTACTGAGTTCGAGTGAGATCAAAACTCAAACTGCTCAAACTGAACATCATAATCTAATTATTGTTCTATATAATTAATAATTAAACACAGTAACATACAATGTTTACATTGGTCAACAATCAGATGGGAGAGCTATCAGGTGTTAATTAAGCACACGGCTATTTCTCTGTTCAATCCCCAAGGAAGGGCAGCCGGTTGCTGCTTTCAGTTTCCATGGTGAAAAATTATCCCTGAGCCTTGGCTGTTAAGGTGTTGCAACAACATTTCAGAATCATTAATGGTGTCATCTACTTTTCTGAATCAGCCCAAAACCAAAACCGTAGAATTTACATGACATAGTAGGAATTGAGTCTGCAGACAATCTTGCTCACAGCGGGCTCATCCTCTGCGAGACCGAAGACTTAAATATAGCGTCCAGGAATTTAATAACATCGTTAAAATAAAATTAAATCAGAGTGGAAAATAAATTGGCCAGAGAAAATACTTTTAGATTCAAATTAAATAACGATCTACTTGTAAAGCTGGAGGTCAATCACCCATCGCGCAAAATTTGCGGGTTAATCACAAGACTAAGAACTAAGGACTTAATAACCGACCATAACTATAAACCGGTGAAGTGCGAATGCTGCCACATTTTAACCGTTGATCATGTCGTCACTAGGTGCAATAGATTGGAAAAGAAAAGACCCCCTGTAAGATCTTTATAGAAAAGGCTAAACTTCAATGTACCCTGCAATATGTACCCCCCCCCCCCCTAGAAATATGTCATATAATATTCACGAAGCTATTTCAAGATTCATAAAAGAATCGGGAATTAACTGTTAAGTTAATTTAGCAAAATAGAGCAATATATGACTCGTCATGGACAAATAATCGGTTGTGTAGAATAGCATTAACGTAGGGAACTACACATCTTGTTACACAGGAATGAACTATTGTTGTAGGACTGTATGGCGCTTCAGCCTGCTGAATAATTTAACATAATAATATATCAGGGAAAATACAGACTAAAGAAATTGGGACCTCCACAACCATTCATTAATACCGATAGTCTTAAACCTGTATCGTATGTGTTTAATCGACTGTTATTCTTATGAATGTTTAAATTGTTCTGTGTTGCTGCTGGCCCTTCTGTCCCTTTTCAGGTATTTTTGTTATTTGGGAAGAGTCATCTACAAACTTTAATAAACACAGACTATGATATTTAACGTTGAAAAGGCGAATTGTTTTAAAAGACTTGGAATTTTTTAACGAACTGGAAATAATCACACGGACAGTTTTTATATGTAAATAATACGCGGGTTCTGCTATATGGAGTTTACCGAGATAACTACCAAACATCAGTCAGCTGGACCTCCTGTTTTAAATTGTTTTTATTATGACAAAAAGAGAAGATGACCCACCCTCCCTTCTCGGGTCCGAACTTTTAACACCGTGTTTTAAAGTGACATTTTGATATACAAGAACTTATTTTTTTCCATGTTTTTACCCATTTTCCTTTCTTTAAATTACGCCTTGATATGTGAATAACTTAATTAAATGAACCTGTCCATATTATCACAATGTACATAGGCGGATCCAAGGGGGGGAGGGGCGAGGCCCCCCCCCCTAATTTTCGACAGTGCCCCTTTTTACTCAAACCATCGACTCAAACACACCAGTCAGGTCTAATTAATGTTTCCACTTTCAAACGAATTCTTGTTGTTTAGCTGACGGTGCCCTAATCCTACACAGTTACTATAGACAGACATCAATGATGGCATCTTGTGGAATCGGCGGCGTATACACTCATGCCCATTACCGACGCGCATTAGTGCAACTTGATGTAGCCTTGGGTTTTTTTCTTGGTTGAGAACCACTATCATAATGTATTGAGCGTTAAATTTATAATAAACAACAAACAACAACAACAACAACAATATTCTAGACCAGCAGATTGGGGTTATATTACACAATTGAAGCGCCTTTTCCTCTAAGTCAGATAAAATTGTGACAAAAACCCAATCCGTAGACACAAAAATATCGTTAATTGCATGCACGGGAGCTGAGATGTGTTCGTCCATAATAGGTCTACTTGTCAACATTTTCAGTTGAAAATCCTTGACAGTTGGAATTAACCCTTTAGTACAATGTACGGAGTATGTCTGGATTCTGCCGCTTGGTGTAGAGAAGTAGGACATTAAATCCGATTTCATTTTATTTCTAGTATGGATGTGTGTGACGTGATAATCGGGGGTTAATACACTCAATATTATTCATGGAGACTTAAGCAACTGATAATCAGCACGGTATGTTTTTGATTCGTCATTGCTATAAATAGTACATTACTCAGACAACATAACAGTAAACAATTTGAAAGATTGGTGACAGTAGTGAACTTACTATCTTCCTTTGTTTGTTCAAGGTCGCATTGACGTCATAGAGTTGGGGGCAATGCAAAATCACTCAAGCGAAACTGGAAACTCCAAATGTATAGAGGATATTTGTCGTTTTGGAGTGAATAACATATTTTATTTCATCGAGAAGCAAGAAAACTTATATTTTCACGAATGCGTAGGATGAGTGAAAATATAAACGTTTTCTTGCTTAGAGATGAAATAAAATATGTTATTCACGACAAAACGACAAATGTTCTATTTATTTTATGATTTTACAATTATTTTAGGTAAAAACAGCATGGACTACTTTAGCCAGTGGAATAACACTTTTATTTCACTGATAAAACGCGGTATTCCACTACTGATCATAAAATAAAACATATTATTAACCAAGCGTTTACTCGTGCACACGATCGGGCGATAAACCTCGAAAGTAGATTAAAATATATATGTTAAAGCCATACCAGACCCGTAACTGGGGGGGGGGGGGCAAAGTTTAGAGCTACCGTACTTACGACCCTGAGCCATACCCAAATGATCAAAAGCGAATTTCATCAAATCACTATTAATTTAATATATATTCAGGCATCCTTTATTTGTTTCCTGAACAATAGAACAACAAAAAATTTAAATCTAATTTGCAGAAGAAAAGAAAAGTTATTATTGAAAGCTAATTAACTCGGGCTGGTGTCATCCCGATCGGCGATGATGGTATTTACTGCTGATCAATTAGCTTCCCTCTGTACCTTCTATGATTTTAGGGATCTTATATAAATGGCCAAAATATATAATCCAAGTTACCTGTTCGATTTCGGTAGACATATCATACAATTTGTCTACGTGATGGGGGTCACGGTTGCAAAGTGAGTAAGACGCTGGATAGCTAGCCTGGAGGTCGGGTGTTCGATCCTACATTGGCGGAGAAAGTTCATCCAGATTTTCCGGCGTGGTTGCCCCTTGTCAGTGATGCAGGACGGAGGGCTTGACAAGGACAGCTGTCTAGTCGTTCGGATTGGACGAAAAACCGAGGTCCTGTGTACACATTGGCGTGTGCGTACAAGATCCCTTGACAGTTGGAATTCGATATAAGAGTAGGCCGTAGTGCCGCTGTCCGGGCATAATTTCCCTCATAGCACACTGTATGGCGTATGCCCGTCTTCATTAGCCCAGTTCGGAGCAGAAGAGTAGGACGTTAAACCGATTTCATTTGATTTTATTTGTCTACGTGATGGTTAAACAGTTATCTCTACTGTGTAATATTTACATTATCGGTCAATGTGATTTATCATCTCTTAATTAAACATAACTATTCTTGCTTTATCACACATATAGTCATGTAGATTGTACATACATTATTACGAACATACCCGAATGTTATACCTTAAGGGGATTATAATGACGAATACGTAAAATACGTCACGTTTTAGGTAGTTTCCAGTTTTTTCACAGAATCCGTTAATGATCTTACAGAGGGGTCGACAAAGAGGAATAAATGTTTCGGCCTAGTCAAAGGAGTGTATATTTTACATATTAAAGGATGCGTGGCTCTATTATTTGATACCCTCAATTAGATTAAAATGGGTCTAATTGTACGTATTAATGTAATATGAATGTATATAAAGTGATTTATATTCAATTTTTAAAACAAGTTATCGTTTATTTATAATTAGTCCATTCTACACGGTTATTTTTAATTATTTTTGTCGTTTGTAAATCAGCCATTATTAATTACTTCCGCATTGTCTTGTAGAATATGTTAATCTTTGTTCATTTCATTTCGAATATTATTGAAAATATCAAGATAGGGGATTAGCTCTTTAATTTATTTTTTATATATATATATCATGTATCGTTCTAGAAAACGACAAGTATGTTTCTGAGAATAAAGTGTCGTTATCTAATCGCATTGTTTGGTTACTACATAACGGATATATATTTTTATCTTCTATATGTATTTGTGAATGTCGTTTGTCTGTTTGTTTGTTTGTCTGTTCGGGGTTGGTGGCTACTCGAGGGTTGAGCTTTGCACTAGAATGGCCCGGACGTGACACGGTCTTGCGCTTCTACTCCTGACTTCGGAGATGGTACTTCTGGTTTCAAACCTTTCCGTGTAACGTTAGATAAACAGCTGGTTTTGGGTTTTTTGCGGTTTATTTTTTCTTTGTATAAACGTGGTATGTTGTGTTTACATAACAGACAATTATTAATATAATACTTCATAACAGACAATTATTAACGATACATTATGGAAGATTAGATAAAGAGCTGGCAGTTCGCACTATAATAGTTAAAAACTAGATAATGTAAAAACTAGATAATGTAAAGGGGATATGCTAAGAATTTCAGTAAAATTGATCCACACTGAACCGAGAATTTAGCGATTGAATTTAAGGCCTAGCCTCGATCATCATTACTAAAGTCGGTACGATAAAAAAAAACATAGTCTCGATTATCCACCTATTTTTGATTTAATCATAAATCATCATTACTAAAGTCGGTACATTCATTTTTTGATTTAAACATGAATGACCGTAGAGCAGAAGATCGGATCCTAATCCAGTAAATATTGCAGGCTAGCGATGACGTCGAGAATTTCTTATGGTCTGGATAAGTTAATTAATGTCTAATTAATAATTTAGATAACATTTCAGGCCTAAAGAAAGAACTGCAAAAGGCAGATTTAGCTCTTGCATAATGTAGGCCTATGTTTAATATAATATTTGATAAGAAATTAAATTAGAATGTAAACACATCATTGAATAAATAAGCTGGCCAGATGGCAAGAATGCGGATTAACAATATTGACCGTTGCAGTAAGTTTAGAAATATTAGCGAGATAACAAATACATGTAGAATGAAATGGCACCGACTGGTCGGAAAATGAAGACGACCATGCGCTATGCAGTGTGCTGTGAGGGGCATTTTGACCTTAGTGTACGCGGGACCTCGGTACGCTGTCAGTACCCCCCCCCCCCGTCATGCACCACTGACAAGGTGAAATCACACCGGGAGATCATGAGGAACTTACTCGGCCAAACCGGCAGTGAACCCGAGCCCCCCCCCCCTTCGCCCCAGCCTGGGGGTTCGCAATTACGCATTTACAAGCAAAACAGACCAGGTTGTTCATATATATCCCAAAATGCTAGCGAATTATGAAATAAAATTAAATCATGTGTTAGTCCCTAAATGACCTAGTGACAAGGAGTAGGGTAGTTTGTCCAACCTCGTGGGTTTTCTCCGGGTTCTAAGGTTTCCTCTCACTGCTAAACATCTCTACGCGCAAGCGAATTATTGAAATAAAATTGTACCATGTTAGTCCCCCCTCCCCCTCCACCGAAATGGATGGCATTGAACCTCGTCGCCTCTCTGGGAACCAAAATCCAATTTTATAATAAATACTATTGGTTGTGATGCTGGATAACCGTTCCCAAAAGACAATGTTTGGGTTTCACTTCATTAAACTAAGGTATGTACGTAAAAAACACATAAATTAAATGGGGTTTAACGTCCTACTTTTCTATTCTGACTGAGCTAATGAAGACGAGTAAAATCAAATACGGTCCATTGATTTCATATAAATGTCGCTAACCAAGCCTTACTCTGCGTGTGCTTCTAAAACGGGTCACTTATTTATTAGGGAATTCCCCTAGAGATCACCCATTAATCGTTTTCCTTGAACCGCCAGTCACCAACAAAACATCCCGCGGGGTCTTTATATCCAAGTGATCCAAGGTAAATGTGGTAACATATCAAATAAAACACACATCGGGCCACGTGACTCACCCTCTATATCCACTGAAGCGGAGAACCTACTTCGTATTACCTATTCGTAATACGTGTGTATACCCAGAATGCAAATAGACAGCGGTCACATCGTCTATTGAGGAAGTACACATGTGTACCGAATGCTTAAACAATTTCCAGTGTCTCGTTTGATTTGCCGTTAGTTGCTGACCGTCTGTGATAAAACAAGGCGATATAATTTATAAGATTCAAAAATATTTCAATGTAAATACGGATAGCTGGGTCTAATAAGGTAAGAGTATTTTCTACACTATTCTAGAGCTCGGCGCGTAGAGATAGATCGTAAAGTTTTATTTGTCAACAGCCTGTTGTGTCACGCTGTGATTTTTACGCAATAGATAGATATTAAACTGGACACACTTATAGTTATTAGAATAGATATAAGAGCGATTAGCTGTTAATTAATTAATAACCAACGTACTGTGACTGTAGTTAATTTCCATTATTGAACGACGACGGTAGGTAATTTACTACGTTATAGGTGAAATAGTGCGGAACAGATTTTTGCAAATTATTGCTTGTCTTTTTTCTGTTGGCATGTCCATGGAAAAATCCGTTACACTATCCCGCCTTCCTAAATGTGTTTTGATTTTAGAAACAAAAACAAAAATAGATGGTATGGTGAATTTAAAATTATTCGTTGCGTGTTTTGGCGCCTTTTTATGTGTTTCCCCCCCCCCCACCCTCCCCCCTCTCCTAAATTTTATACAACACGGCTACACCCGTGGTGGTCATTTCCAGCTAATCAACCCGGACAATTAAAGGTAAACTAGGGTGGGGAGGGTACCTTTTTCATCTAAAAAAGGGGGGGGGGGCGCAACCCCTATAGATCTTTATGGCGATCGTCACGAAAGCCATTTAAGTTCATCGGGACTTTCTGGCGCGGTTTCCCCTTGTCAGTGGTGCAGGACGTAGGGCCTGACAAGGACAGCTGTCTAGTCACTCGGATGGGACGAAAACCATTTAATGATTTAATTCAAAAATGGAGAATCGAGGCTACGACTAGAATGACCAGTACAGTTACGATCAATGCACACATCTTGTCAAAACTACAACCAGTGATAACTTGGCTAAAATAATTTGAATGCAATTTTCAATATATTCATTTTGCATTTTATAGCCAGAATGGCCAGCTCTTTATCTAAATCTTACATAATGCCAGCTTCCCACTATCGTGCGATGCGTTAAGACAGGATTGTCCACAATCTGCTACGTGCAGATGTCTTCGGATAAGTTTCGATACGGTCAACACGAGTGTTACAATTGACCTCAATATTATGACAAGACCTGATAGGATCAACCCGATTACTCCACGATTAAAACCACGATTTTAATCGTAGCGCGAATCGTGATAGTGGATAGTGGGAACGTAGCTTTAAGGGATAAAGAACTTGAACTATACAGTTCAGTATTTACAAAGATATTTAATGCATTGACAATTTGTCAACAATCAGCATCCTCTATAGATAATAGAAACAAATCAGAGCCGCTTTATATCTTCATTACAATAATCGGGCCTCTTTGTAACCCGATTTAATCTAATCCATGATTACCAATCTACGATATTTTGATTTCTTAATCAAATGTTACATAATAAATTTGAGTTCATTTTGGCGGAGATTAATCTGTAATAATGATCCGCAACTTGGGGGTTTCCTCCTACTGCTACAGGCCCCTACGCGCAAGCGAATTATTGAAAAAAATTGACCCACGTGTTAGTCCCTAAATGACCTAGTGGACGTTAACCCCCCTCTCTCTCCCTCTCTCTCTGATCAGCAACTTTCTTTGAAGTGTGCAAATGTACCGACCCCTTCTTGGCTGAGAAAGTTCATCGGGTTTTTCCGACGTGGTTTCCCCTTGTCAGTGGTGCAGAACGGAGGGTCTCTCAAGGACAAAATGTGAAGAAATAACTTATATATTGATTTTTTGGATAATGAAATGAAATGGGGTTTAACGTCCCATTGTTCTGCTGCGGTTGGGCTAATGAAGAAAGGCATTCGCCATACAGTGTGCTATGAGGGAATTTTTTCCCGGAACTCTTATATCGAATTCCAACTGCCAAGGGATTTTTTACGTGCACGCCAATGTGTACACGGGACCTCAGATTTTCAAATCCCATTATTATATGTTGTGCTTAATACGTAAACATTTATTGAATACATAGTGTTAAGAAGAAATACAACACCAAATTTACGAATTGTTCAGTTGTAAATCTAAACTGAAATCGTACAATATATTTCCGCTTTAACGTAATAAAGAACGCTGAGTAATATTTCACGATCACGATTTAGGAAATTTGAAACCAACCGTGACAAAGTCCAACTATTTTTGAAAGAAATAACATAATGTAGGCCCTACTGGTTGTATTTTTGTGCATAAATCATATATCATAATATATATTAAAATTAAACAATGCCTGAAGGGTAGGGGGGGGGGGGGGTAGATAGAAAGAGAGAGAGACAGAGAGAGAGAGAGAGAGGGGGGTTTAACGTCCATTAGAAACAAACTAGTTCATTTCGGAGCTAACTTATGGTTTAATTTTATTTCAATAATTCGCTTGCGCGTAGGGGTTTTTAGCAGTTGGAGGAAACCGGAGGACCCGAAGAAAACCCACAAGGTTGGACAGACGACCCTACTCATTGTCACGTACAACCGGGGATTCGAAACCATGCCAGTTGACTCAATGACAGGCCATATGATACAGCGCACACGTGCTAACCATTCGCCCCCCCCCCCCCCGATAGAGCGCGAGAGAGGGGGGGGGGGGTACTAGGGTGAAACCAGAGGACGCGGAGAGGAAACCCACGAGTGTTAGACCACTCGAACTCGACCCAACAACCATTAGTTCAGTAGGAGAAAAAAGTCGGGTTTAGTCAGTTTGATTTCTGGCAAGTTTACATTTCCCCAAATCTTCATTAGATTTACTATGTACTGGTACATCTCTCTCCACAATCGTCCCATTTTTTTTTAAAAATTCCAAACACTATTTATTCAATGAATATTTACATATTATAAATTACAAGCCGGAAAAAACCAAGTCGGAGCTTGTATAAATTAATCTCCCGTAAGAAATTGTCTACAGGAATATGAATACATTGTTTAAAATTATAACCATAAATTATATACTTTTTCGGGCGTCTATTCTGTACGACTTGTGCATAAATTATCTCCGATCTTATTTAAAGGTCCACACTCAGTTATATTTGAAACCATAAACCAATGCAATCTTTTATAATGTCAAACAAACTTGTGAGTCATTTGCATAATCAAAATTATACTGGATAATTTGGACTACGTGCACCTACCAAAGATTAAAAAAAGTACAGAACTAACAATTTATAAAGGACAACAATCATTTGTTTATTATACACAAGGACGACGTTTCGATAACTATCCCCTTATCGTTATTAAGCACAATGCTTGTGTTAGTTCTGTTATGTTTCCAATAGCTACATGCCACTAAAGGATTTTTTTTTTTTTAAAAAGTACATTCAAATGTTGACCCCTATTTAATCCGCTTGAATCCAAGTCAAGAGATTGTCTACTTGATATTTTGATTTTGATTTCTTAATTAAATGTTAAATAATTAATTTGAGTGTGGATTAAGGCCTGGAAATCCTGACAAGTGACGTACAGACTAACAGAGACCAATCTGATTAAAAATCGGATCCTATTTCGTTTCGGTTTTTTTATATTACAAAATTTCGTTTGACTTGTCTTCACTACATTAGGATCTGGAAGGGTTGTTATAGAATCCGCGTCCTGGGTGATGTCAGGGATTAGCCAATCAAATGGTCTGTTGGGGCCAGTTCTTGGTGCGCGGAACTGTGGGTAGACATTCGTAGCAAAGACAAAGCAAAAGTTGTATCTCCAAATACCCACTTAAAACATCAACGCTGATTGGTTAATTAACGGCACAGGGTCAAAAACCGCTCGTATGACCCCGACTACAACCGGTCAGACCTGAATGTAGCGGAGGAAATAGGAAGTATAGAAAAACGAAACGAAATACATGTATAGATCTGTATGTTTAAACAGGTTGAACAGAGACTGTCATTGTTTATTTATAATGTTGTGACGACCATCGTCTAGCATTTTACGTGAACTTGAATAAATTACAAATTATCTGTCTTATCATTTCGTGATGACGTCAATTTTAAAGTGGATGACATTAAAGGGATTTTGTAATGAAATGAAGGGGGTTGAATGGTCGAATGGTTAGCATGTACGCGTTGTATCATAAGGTCTGTCATTAAGTCAAGAGGCGTGGTTTCGATTGCCCGTTGTACGTGACAAGGATTAGGGTCGCCTAGTTAGCACGTGCGTGCTGCATCACAAGGCCTGTCATTGAGTCAACTGGCGTGGTTTCGAATCCCCGATTGTACGTGACAAGGAGTAGGGTCGCCTGTCCAACCTCGTGGGTTTTCTCGAGAAAACGAGGTTTAACGTCCACGCCAGTTGACTCAATCACAGACCTTATCATACAGCGCGCACGCGCTAACCATTCGCCCCCACCCCACAAGCCATGGTGTTGATAATCGTTAGTCAAGGTACTGGAGTAATAGATGACCTTTTTGAAATTCGGACTGGAATTCGTTTGTGATTCGTTGTGATGTATAACGCTAAACCCCATTGAAATATGATTTAACGCCCTACTCTGCTGCACAGAACGGGCTAATAAAGACGGGCATACTTCAAACAGGGTGTCTACTGTTATTTCGAATTGCAACTGCCAAGGGTACACACCTACCTAAACGACTAGACGACGTTCCTGGCCAGCCTCTGTGCCCTGAACAAATGACAAGGGGAAACCACACCGGAAAACTCGAGAAACTACGGAAGCGAACCAAAAGGCATCCAGGTTAGGGATTCAGCCCCCTTTCTCATTGATTAAGCGTGGTCCCCACGATGTAAATACATTTAGCAAGTTTATCAGTATAAATTAAAATAATACAGTCCACAAATAACCAGTATAACCACAAACAATATTGGTTCACAACTATATTCAGGTGATTTTGTTCTTGCATAATTTATAGCCATTTGAAGCATGCAATAGTTGTCTGACACGTCAATCCTTCGAAGAGCAGAATCTCTTATATTTAAGACAGAATAAAGTTATGAAGTGGTTTGATATGATATTTTGTTTGAAATAGTAGTGTTTGATCCGATGATTTAAGTTAGTGATGTTGCAAGCTTTTTTCAGTTAAATTTCCGTTTCGGAAGATTGAGGGG